TGCTTCATCTTTTCTGGCACTTAATGCGCGTGAACTATTTTTGGACATAATTGTCACCTGTGATGAAAAATAGATTCTCTGTGCAAATATTAAACACCAAAATCAATGGCTCAGTCCTAGACAAAAACCACTTCTGACCCCAAAACCTGGACTCCATCCACAAAAAGTGATGCTTTGCATTTGGTGGGACATCAAAGGAGTAATTCATTTCAAACTCCTCAATCCACAATGAACTGTCAATGCAGAGATCTATAGTCAGCAACTGGAAAGTTTGAATTAAGCCCTTCATCAGAAACACCCTTGTCTCTTCAATCAGAAAGGTATTCTTCTTCTCCACGACAATGCACGTCCACATGTGGCACGTTTCATGTGACACAAGATTATGGAGTTGGGTTGGGAAGTTCTCACCCACCCACCATATTCTCCAGAAATGGCACCATCAGATTATCATCTTTTTCGTTCGCTGCAACACCATCTTAATGGGAAAACGTAAGCAAAGGTGGAAGGTGTTAAAGAGGAAATCGACATGTTTTTTGCTTCAAAGCCAAGTGATTCATTTATTCAGGGCATTAACAACCTGATTGTAAGATGGAAAAGCACCATCGTTAAGAATGGAGACTATTTCATTTAATAAATGTTTTGTTTTGATATATAAGTTGTTTGGGTTTTTTCATCTAAAAAAAGTGACATTAATTTCTTGACAACCTAATATGTATCCAATATATATCTGGGCTTTGTCTTAAATATAAAGCTTAAGCTCAACACACAGCAGTGGAACATGTTTACATAACTTGTATGATAATAGTAATAATAAATGAAACTTTTGGGAAAGTATTCGTACATTTTGCAGACTTTATTTGGTAAATTTTTTTAAGTCATTATATGAACTCACAAGTATCAATGACAGGGAATAATAGTAATAAAAAACTTGTTTTAGTCACTTTTCAATTCACAAAAAAATACAGTTACAACCTGTAATAAAAACCTATAAAAATGTTAGTCAATACATTAAATAAATTATGTATTTTCAACAGATCTTAAGATACACCTAATCCCACAGTTCACTTGGCAGTCTGCCCCCCTAAACGGCTTTTAATTTCATTATAAACACATTGTGCAACTGTATATTAAGAGTAAAATATTAAGAGTAAACAACAGTACATATATCTCATCATACAATTATGCCTATATAAAAAAAAACAAAAAACAGACAAACAAACATGCAAAAAAATATGAAGGCCGAAACTGAAACATAAACGAAAAAAAAAATCACAAAACACACTGGATAGAATAAATCAGCTGTAAAAAATACTAAACTTTTCTCTGGCGAATAAAAAAATTTGCGTATTTCTAGTAACTGCAATACAGCCTTACCTAAAATACATAAGCCTAACATATAGGCCCATTATAAGTATTTTAAATTATACTACACACCCATTAGCTGGTTTATTGGTTAAAAAATTGTGTGATGTAAATATCAGAAAATGTAAACATACAGCTAAAAATTCTGACGATTTTGCAAAGGAGCTTAAAGATATTAAAATCCAGGATAATGGCAAGAAATTATTTCATTGTTCACACATGTTCCAGTATGTAAAACCTCATATAATTTATTCATCAGATTGCTTGATATTGAAACTTATCATTAGAATATATTAAATAATTAGTCAATCTTATCAAGACTTTGTGTTGAAAATTGCATATTTAAAATTAGTGATCATTTTTTTTCAACAAGTTACAGGTCTAGCAATGGAGTCCCTTTTATCTCCTATTTTTAGTGATGTATTTATGGATGCCCTTGACATTTCCAAGTTACAAGAAGCTTTAATAAATTTTATAGCATATAGAAGATACGTAGAAATTATAAAGTTTTTTTAAACAATATGAATAATATGATGAAGGAATTGTATACACTACAGAATCCAATAAATATGAACTGGACTTCTTAGATGTTTTTATTAAAAGAGATGACAATAATCTTAAAACTCAGTGTGTTCAAAACATTTTTGCTGCAGGCATGCCAATACATTACAACCCCTTTAAATCAAAGATTAAGCACATTTTACATACATGCATGGCAGGTTATTAATACATGTTCTGATATCATAGATACAAACAAAGAAAACGTGCTTATAAGTAGTAGCAATGGATAAAGGTTATGGTCCTAAAATTGTTGATAAAGGTTTTCATAAATACTCTAAATTAACTCCATTAATAAGTTCATTAGTATACCATTTTTTTCCTGTTATTTCAAAAGAAATTGATAAAGCATTTTTATTAAAAGATTACAAAGTATATTTAATTCCTCAAAACAAAACTGTCAACCATTTACAAACATTCAAAAATCCTAAAAAGATTGAAAATGAAGATGGAATTTACCAAATCATTTGTAGTTGTAGTAAAATGTACATAGGACAAACAAGAAGAAAAGTAAAAACAAGACTGAAAGAGCACCAGTATGACATAAAGTACAATAACACCATACTCTCAAATGTAGCTCAACATTTTTGAAACCGTGATAATAAATGTAAATGGAAAAACGTCAAAAATCTTAAGAAATTCACAAACAGAGATAGAAAAGAACTTGCTGGAAATTAGTAGCATAATTCAAAACAAACTTCTGTGTGTAAATAGAATCATTTCCTATTGTTTATGAATTTCATTATTTAACTGCACACTTCCTCTTGTCTCCTGAACATATTTTTAAATATGAACTTAGGAGTTTAATATACGCTAGGCTAATACTGATGATAGTAGCTGTATTACCAAAACCAGTTGGCTAAAACAATTAATAAAGAGTTTATCTTTTATTGTGTCCAAAAACGTTTTGTTTTTTTTTACTTTTAATATATCCTTTTAACTGTGTATTACCTCCTAAATTATTATATCAAAAAGTTTTGTAAACATTTTTGTATTTATTAATTAAATAATTACACCTGCATATACTAAATTATTCATTTTAAAACTAATGAACTACATTCCTGGCAAGAACCAGTTGACAGTTTGTTTGATGATAGCTTCCTGGTCCTCACTTAACGATGCTACCAGCTGTCTGTGAAGTGACACGACCTCAGAGCACTAGCATTTATAGCAATAATGCCTAAAGGTTCAGAATATCCTACTTCCCATAGAGAGATACAACATTTTGTTTTTGTGTTGTAAAAAGCATTATATTAATACTAGTATTTGGTATGAAAACTGACGACTGAAACGATCCTACAGTTCTTATTCAAGTAACAAAACCAATAACACACAAAAGCAAATAATCAATGTATATATATATATACAGAAATGTCTATGACACTTGTCCTGCATTGCAAAAACTGAATCACTGTACCCAAAATTAAGTCAAAACATACTCTAACCTTTATTTCCTAAGCTAAGTGAGGAACACAAACTGAACCACAACATGTTACATTCAACCTACAAATAGTAATAAAGAAACATACATTTCTGTCATGAAACCAAAGGCAGAAATTACAACAATAAACCACTGGTTAGAAAAACTAATTCTAAAACGTTTGAAACTCTTTGCTTTTGAGGGATTTTCAGCCCCTTTAGCAATGACATACACAGTCTTCTTTTAGCACAAATGGTTAGAAAAACTAATTCTAAAACTTATGCTTGAAACTCTTTGCTTTTTTTTTAATTTTTAGCCCCTTTAGCAATGACGTACAAAAAGTCTTCTGTTAGCACAAACGGTTAGAAAAACTAATTCTAAACTTACGCTTGAAACTCTTTGCTTTTTTTGGGATTTTCAGCCCCTTTAGCAATGACGTATAAAAAGTCTTCTGTCAACACGAATGGTACTCTCTCTCTGTTAATACCAAACTTCTTTTTGAAGTGGCCCAGAAAGTGTCCAAAATCAATGTGAAAAATCTGTAATAAAAGCAAATCTAACAAGTTAAGTTTACCGAGCACAACAAAACGACATTGTGAAATCATAGGAAAAAAAAAAATTGATTAATGAAGAGTGCATCTGAAAATCAGTCATATGCTTTTTAAGCAATATGGACAAAGGGAAACTGTTTCCCTAAAATTTAAATGAATACTTGAATTTCATAGGGAAAAAAAAGCTTTATATTTCTTACTTTCAAATAATTCTAGAATGATCCAGAAATTTGGAACACTTCATATATATATATATATATATATATATATTTATTTTAAGTACAAAACATGTTAACATACTCAGTTTTCAAAACCTTCAGAAAATTTTAATGAATGATTAGCCATGACTGATCCTAACTGGGTTTTTTTTTCTCCAGTCTCGTGCAAGATTAATATTCATTCAGATCAAATTTTTAATTAATGACATCACAAGAAATATTGTAAAGCAAGATTTAACACGAATCAAAACAATAGTTTATACAGTAATTGAAAAATAGGATAGTAATCAGATATTCTTTTAAAATAAAAAATGGTAAAAGGAGATGCACAAAAAACTAACTCATAATATATATTGTCTATGGAATAACATTCACGGAATGTGTGAATTACATTCAGAGAGATATATTGTTATTTATCATTCACATACTGACATTTTGGAAAAACTTTTACAAAGAAAATGAGTTATCTTATTAACTCTCTCGACAGGGTTCGGTGAATTTGACCGACCAAGTGACCTCTTTGTACTCATTTAGTCTTTACAAATTTAATATAGCATGGATATCTTCACAAAATTTGGCAGTCTTTCAGTTAACATTACAAGTCTTTCACATACAAAAATATCATATTGATATCGATCAATATGAAATATCTTTCAGTTAACATTACAAGTCTTTCACATACAAAAATATCATATTTTTTATTAAATTACTTTCAATAAACTAAAATAAAGATTTGTCCATGAATACATTGAGAACTTGTTTTGAATAGTCC